AAAAATTCTATATTTTTATAATTTTACGTATACAATAATACGGGTCAAATCGAAACAAACCGCAACCCGTGACCCACATGGGCTTGACCCGGATGGGTCGCGGACAGGCTTGAGTTGTAGTCCAAAATTTGTGGGCCAACCTGGAACCCGTAGCGGGCGAACTTTTTTTCACGCGAGCCGTTATCGGACTCATATGTTGACTAGCCACCCTACCAGGACTACCCGGATTGACACCTCTACTTGGCACTAAGTTCATGTTTCACAATCATTATTTAAAAACTCTGTTTACTACATATTTATTTTTAACCACACGTTCATACAAAAATATTATACACTTAAAATTAATTTTTTTCCTTACTTTTTTAATATATCATTCTTCTAAAAATCACTATTCAAAATATTGTTTTTCAAAAACAATGATGGTAAAACAGGGGCAAAAGGCCAAATCTCTCTCTCTCTCTATGCTTTCAGTACATTGTACTTTTATGTGTGTGCATATGCAAAGTAATTTTCTTCGAAAAAACCCTGGCTACAAGGATCTGCACAAGCGAGGAGACGTGTCTGCTTCAGATCTAATTTGAATTCTATGTAAACATTACTTGGTATAAATATGAATTTATCATTTTGTTCAATTCTTAGTTTACATTTAACAAAAAAAAATATTTTTTTGTTATAAATATGAAAAATTCTATATTTTTATAATTTTACGTATACAATAATACGGGTCAAATCGAAACAAACCACGACCCGTGACCCGCATGGGCTTGACCCGGATGGGTCAGCAGACGGGCTTGAGTTGTAGTCCAAAATTTGTGGGCCGACCTGGAACCCGTAGCGGGCGAACTTTTTTTCACGCGGGCCGTTCCCGGGCTCATATGTTGACTAGCCACCCTACCGGACTATCCGGATAGACACCTCTACTTGGCACTAAGTTCATGTTTCACAATCATTATTTAAAAACTCTGTTTACTACATATTTATTTTTAACCACACGTCCATACAAAAAATACTATACACTTAAAATTAATTTTTTTCCTTACTTTTTAATATATCATTCTTCTAAAAATCACTATTCAAAATATTGTTTTTCAAAAACAATGATGGTAAAACAGGGGCAAAAGGCCAAATCTCTCTCTCTCTCTCTCTCTCTCTGCTTTCAGTACATTGTACTTTTATGTGTGTGCATATGTAAAGTAATTTTCTTCGTAAGAACCCTGGCTACAAGGATCTGCACAAGTGAGGAGACGTGTCTGCTTCAGATCTTTTTTATTGATGCACATATTTTTGAATGTAAGTATTGGAAAATGAAAGGGTTTTTGGTGAATGTTTTTGAATGCAAGTATTGAATAATATGACAAAGAGGTTTTTGGTGGTAGTTCATCCTTGATGGATCTTAGTTTTGTATTTGGAAGACACTCGGCAATTTTTATAATTGTCACGTGTAATGGTAGGTCGAAAATTCAGGTATTTTTGGAATTATACTGTAGTTAAATAAGAGTTTAATATATTTGAATGTGTTTGCTTAGTGACATACTTGTTTATATTTTCGAGTTTAATAGAATACTGAAAGAATAAGATACTTGTATATTGTCGAAGTGATTAATGCTCTACGCATGAAATACAATAAGATATTTTTTTAAAAAAAAACCTGTAACATTTCAAATAATTATGTCTAGACGAAGTCAACTTGTGCTAAATCAATCAAAGTATAGTTAATTAAGCCCATGTTTGGTAGGAATTAAAATCTAAACTTTAAATTAAAAGTCAACAATTAATTTTAACCACATATTTTATGAGACTCATAACTTTTTAACCATACATTTCATCAAATTTTATCAAAATATACTAAAAATCTAATTTTAACCCTCACCAAACAGGGGTCAAATAAAATTTATGTAAAACTACCGATAGGGAATAGTGTTGTGTCTTGTAATATATTTCATTAGCAAAATAATTTAATAAAAACTCCAACCAAAAAAGAATTTTCTAAACACATAATAACACAACATTAAGCACAAAAAATAAATAAAATCCATGTTTTCATATCATTTGGCATCGCTTTAAGAAGTTTAGTGACCAAAATTTGACCAACTTAAAGTATAGTGAGCAATTAAAAATGTCTGCCACAAATTATAATGAACAATTAAGGATGCCTTACTTACATGTACTGACCATCTTCCTTGATTGGGCCTCTAACGGTGATGGGGTACAACTGTGAAATTCGTCTACCACGTCAGTTATTTCGTTAGATACGCGAAATGAAAGTGATTTCAGTGAGCAACGTTCGACGTTTTAATAAATTTAATGATCAAAACTCAATAAGATAAAAGAAAACAAAATATATTCATTTTATCTCCCTAACCACGTCCCAATATTCATCATGCTTTCCAATTTTGTGATTGTAGCTTGCCACACTACACCAAAAATGGTCATTTGCAACACATAAAAGGCAATATTCGGTAGTTAAGTGCTACTAAATGAGTCTACCGCAACATTTTAATAAGCGAATGTTGCCATTAGTTAACATACTTGAGCTTTGGCAACATTTTTTAAATGGATGTTGCAAATGTCGCCTTTCGTAACGTTATTGAATGTTGCAAAAAGTTTTATTTTTTGCAACGTTTATTAAAACGTTGCTGAAACTCATAATATATAGCCTTTTGCAACGTTTACCGACTGTTGCAAAAATTTCACTTTTTTGCAACGTTTATTGAACCTTGCGAAAAGTTTCATTTTCGCAACGTTCAATAAACGTTGCGAAAACATTCAAAAGATTTTACTTTTTCCAACATTCATAGAGCCCTTCGTGTATCCATCAATGTCTTGCGAATTTTCACTCTTGAGATGGGCATGGTGACATCTAGGATGCCTAGATAGGGTTAAGGGCCACTCAGCCTCATCGATGGATAGGTGATCGTCCTTTGATCGCTTTTTGTTCTTAGCGGTTATTTTTATTTTGCGTAGGTCAATCGAGGTTGGTTTCTTCAATCTAGAGTCCTTGGTCTAAATTGCCCATATCACTTAGATCACGTTGATTTTCATGGGTAGATCTATGTTGCAAGACCATGCTTTGGCCTGATTTCCTAAACTATTCCAACTCCACCCGATGTTGCAAACCTCATAAAATAGTGGTAAATCAAGGTTGCAGCCTTTAGCTCGTATAGTATAGGCTAACCTAAGATAGCAATGTAGTCGGATGGAATTTTGACCGCCACAAAATTGATGATCGTCCTCTGTTGACTTTGGAGTTTTCCCAATTCGAAAATGTTTGCCATTTAGCCTCTCACATCTACAAGGACGTCCATGAACCCTTGGAGTCATTTAAGGTACGGTTGGAGATACCATTCTTAGATTTCCATTTACTCCATGGTTCTTGATAAAGCAAACTGATCGATCTCCCATTGTCGAGGATGGCCTGGTAGAATATGCTTCGGCTAGTGGCATTGTTATAACTAGGAGGGGCAATGGGCTAAGCCAAACTCTCCCCCAATTTTTGTTTTGTAATTTTAAAAATCCTCTTCATTTTTTTCAAGTTTGGGATCGACTATTTATTTTTGGAGTAATCGGAGTTAAAATTGTATATGAACAAATTGTTACGTTTATAATTCTTTTTGAAAAACGAATATTATTATGAAAATAACAAATTACGATGAAATCAAATATCATTTACCTGATCAAATGAAATATGAACATATAGATTTTAGACTCAGTACTTAGCGTCTT